ACTCAGAGAGTAGTGGTCAACGGCTCGATGGTGAAGCTATTTCCTGAGAAAGGTCCCTACCTTTTAATTTTGTGTGCCACACAAATTATGTGTGAGAGCATCATGGTCAGAGCCAATGAATATCTAACAGAATACACTAAAGCCGAGCACATTGACCAAACCTGTCACATCGTGCTAAAAACTACACTGCAGCAAGCCTAATTTCTTCCCCTGCCTAAAGGGAGTCAGTCTCCCACTACCACAGGCACCTTAGTAGTTGGATTGGGAAGCCAAGTTTGTGCTTGTTTCCGTCCTCAGGCTCATGGCACTTTTTTATTCTTTTATTCTTAGAAGGAATACTTTCACAAGAGGCATGGATAAATTCCCTAATCCTGAATAGCTAATAATTTAAAGGTATAAGGTTGAACTCATTTTGCCACTCTTGGGAAAAAGCTCCCAATACTTGGCTATTGACTGAAAAGCGGCACTGCAGTTATAAAGGAAACATCTGACACCATATTTTAAACACAGAAACCCATCCAGTAAGAGAGCACTGAATTCGCTGGCTAAAAAATTCAAGGGATATTACCTCTTTAGTCAGGCTGTACACCAGCCTGTACATCAGTGGTGTGCAATCCACTCGTAGTGTGTAGTTTCCTGAAAAACAAGAAAAACTATTTATCCAAAGCAGCAAGTTCTACTTAGCTGAAACCTCATGCCATTATTTGTTAACGTGAAAGGAACTAGAGCGCTACCCTGTCTACAAGGAACAAGCTGCTTGTCCCTGTAGAAGAGTTCTCCCTCTGTGATCCTGTCAGTGCATTTCTATTGACAGGATGAATTACAGCCCAGCTCTTGAAGCAACCCGTAAGAGCTTTTCTTATGTCCCTAAGTTTATTATGCATGTTATAAGAGGAGAAGTTGACTCTGAAGAGTTGCCATACGGTCACATATGTTGCTGACAGGGTCACAACACGTCTTGTCCCTTCCCATAACTTCCCAAATAGTGTAGCTAGTAATGGACTTCTTTCCTGAAACAACAGGAATATCTGAAGGATACTTTATGATTCTGGGTCATGGTTTCCCCCCATATCTACTCCCAAACTAATGCAACAACATTACCACATGGAAGCTTTTGTAGATCTCCAAGACAAAATGCCTCCCAGTCATCGGTATATACCATCACTACTCCTGTAAAACACATGTCGAAACTAAGTACCTTCGATGGAGGAATCTGCATTGATATAAGCCACTCCTCGTGCTTGCAATACTTTGGCATTTTCCTATGAGAAGGAAAAGAGGAAGAAAATGCTGATGACCTTTTTTTTTCCTGAGAACTATTTTCCCATCCACAGAAATAACAGCTGTTTCAGGGAAAGACATCATATACTGCAAGGAGCCAGATATTCTTGGTAGTTCAAAAGGAAACTTAAGAAAGTGTGTGTGTGAGTGTGTGTGGATAAGGTAGACAGAGGGAAGGAGGGAAAAAATGGTGTTTTCTGGTATAGATTTTTCAAAGATCTGCCACTGTGAAAGTTTCTCTTTGAACACTACTGGTTTACCTCAGCCCACTCTGTTGATCCTAGCAAGCCAAATTCCTCTGCATCCCAGCTTGCAAATATCACTGTTCTCCTTGGCCTCCATCCTGCCATAAAAGACCACGAAAATTGTATTACAGAAATAAAGACTGCTTGTTACATGCTAACTAATGTGAAAACAAACGTCATTTTGGGGGGGACTCATCTTTTATCCCGATCTGTGGGGAAAGAGGGGTGTTTAAGGAAGTTTAACATCAACTTCTTCAGTAATCTAATCTCATAATGGGTAGCAATCTCACTTTTACTTCAATATTGTGCCAAATTATGTATTCTTTTTCTTCTCTCAGCTTTAATTGCAAGATTTTTTTCTAAAATATATAACTCTGAACAAGGAAAAATAATGTGTTTCTGCAAAAATTCTTGAAAGGAAGCTTTTCTTCTCTTTTTGCTCCTTCAATTCAGCACACACTGTGTAGTAGACACAAAGTAGACAAAGTAGTGTCTACTTTGACAGAAAAGTCTTTGGCATGTTTTCATATCTATTGTCGAATTTCTTTGACCTGTCTCCTAAATGCTAGATTTCAAAACCTAGGAAATTCCCTGTAACTTTGGCAGATCACCTTCAAAACAAAGATCTTTTACTTAAGTAAGTTCTGCATTCAATTTGAAGCAGGTTCAAATGGAACAGGCTCTATTGCCCTGCCTCTGTATCTTTGCCCAAAGTTTTCTTTGGGGCTACTGGAACCTTTTCTTCTTTTGCTCCCTTTCCTTTTTACCTTTTTTTTTTTTTTTTCATCAGCTTGCATTCCAAAGACAGTTTCCCCTGATATCCAATAACTGAGAGGGAATGGAAAGAAAACTAAATGTTAATAGGTCTTAAGTGTAATGGGTGGGCAAAGAAAGCTCCTCCAGCACAGTATGTGAGTTATTGCAGAGCTTCTTTCCATGGGCTGTCAGATAGGGAGATAGCATCTGCTCTGATAGCAGCAGAAACTTGGCACAGTTGGCATTCGTTCCTATTCTAAAGCAACTAGGCATGAGGTATTTTTAACCATTCCCTCCTGCTATGTTTGCACAGCTCATTCTCTGCATTACATGGATGTGCTTTGTTTATTCTTGGGTCTGTCTCCAAACTACAGTCAAGTCCTGAGAAGGTTCTTGGTGTTGCCTTGATGAAGCTTTGATCAGTCCACCACTGTATCAACTTTATAAGACCATTGAAACCATCGAGTCTGACCAGCCTCAAATACACAGTAACCAATTGTACTTATCATATTTATTTCAGTATCCCCCATTTTGTGCTTTGTTTTCTTTTAGGTGTCCTTTCTCTTGAGTAGAAGTACCTCACATACACCAGTGTTGCAGCTGGAACTAATTAACAGCTGCAGAGCAGCATGCTTATTTGAGAGATCAGTGAGATACACGTGTTTAATTTTAAGCATATGCTTAAATCTCAGAGAAAGCAATGGGCACTGCTGAAAGCAGTGATTTTGGTGTGCTTTATTCTTCCATTACATTACCTTTCCTTTTCAGTTTTCCAAAGCTCCTCACAATCTCGTGAACGACAGCTGCCCCACTCTGAGGATCAATGCCACCAAATACCCATGAGTCACGGTGGCCTCCCAGGATGACATATCTGTCTAGAGAAATTAATTATAGAGGTTTACTTAGAAAAACTCTTTTCCTGCCATAAAGCTGTTAATTGGAAATAATATCTAATCTTCCACATAGGTGTCAGGCAATAAAGCTTAATAGTTTGTAATATACATGATAGAAAGGCAAAAGATATTTAAAATCTCCAAAGACATTTTTCTGCACTTTCAGGCAGTGCTGAAGAATTTGTCAAACAATAACTTTAACCCATAAGACTTAAAACCTTCTAAATTCCATAATGTTACTTCTATTATTAGAAATGCTGCAGCTTTCCTCTGAAGCTAGAAACATCTTTCTGTATTTTACAATAGCATGGGGTTGGAACTAGATGATCTTTGAGGTCCCTTCCAACCCAAACCATTCTAGGATTCTAGGATTCTAGGATTCTAATGTTTCATGGTAAAGCTGATCCATTAATTATACTGGTACAGCACGCCAACACTGAGGTGTGCTGGATGCAGTATTTCTCTGAATATGTATATTCTGTCATAAAAAGGGTTGTCCAAATCATGACAAAAATGTGATTAATAAGATCAAAGTCAGACTAGATCCCTGTGCTACTATAATATCGTTAACAGTTGTGTTTCAGGCAACAGGGAAGTGCTGCAGCTACAAGTTAAATGATATTATCATTGTCCTAGGGATGTCTATATATTTGGTTTTTTAGAGTGTAAAATCACATTGGTTACAAGAGACCATAATACAGCCAAAAAGTCAATAGTGGTGGACATGATGCCTTCAAATGGAACGCAAAATCCACTCCCACGTTAGCAGGGAAGAATACTCACTTATGAATATTCTTTCAGTTGCAAAGCTACTGGCTTGAAGACAAGTATGTCTGTCGTGGTTATGACTCTCCCTTGAAAATCAGCATTTACAGTGAAAGTGCTGACATACCCTGAACCATATGAAAGCTGGTGCAATAAATATTTCAACACTAACGATCATGTTGTGCAGTATTTCAGAGAAAACTATATTCCTCATTTCCCCCTTGTAACTATGGAGTGCACGCAGAGGTCACTGCACGCTCACGTGACACTGGAGATGAATAACTTTACCTGGTTCCACTGTGCCTCTGATGGTACCAATCACATTGTAAATCCTCGTTATTTTGTTGTGGCTATGAATGTGCATTTTCACCTTTCTAGTGCACAGGGAAGAAAATCCAAAGAGAAAATCCACCAAATTAGATAATAAAACATCTTGACACCTTTCACAAGTGTACAATATAAATTGTAAGGAAAGCATTTCGGCCAAATTTACCTTCCATTAAACCAAAGTAAATCTGAAAAGATGTCTGTGTAGTTTTTCTGGATTTACACTTGTGCAACTGAGAACAGTATTTAGCCCTTGAAAGCTCTGTACTGTATTGATTGATACAGTAAGATTTATAGGGATAACAGGCTCAGTACTCCAAATTCAAAGATTTTTTACTAGCAGCTAGTTTTTAAATTTGGAAGAGTGAAAGAAAAATGAAAAGGATCTAATGTTAAAAAGGTAAATAGTTCTAATCATCCAGAAGTTGGCACAAATCAGAAATGACTCCAGCACAGTCAATACTGTTGTGGCAGCTCAGGCAGCAGTAAATCAGACAACCTGAGTTGCATCAAGAGTTTTTGTTTGTTTGTCTACAACACAGCTGAAGGTGCAACAACTCATCCTCACGGGTTGCCTTTACGTTTTTCAGAAAAAAAAATTGTCATGTGATATGACTAAGACACAGGGAAAAGGCCAAATGGTTCATACGAAGTCAGTACAATAGCTCAGTCAATATTGAAACACCTGGACTTTAGTCCTAAAATCTGAAAAAACCCTTACTAAGTAAGTTTAAAAACAATACAAAACAATAAAAATGACATTGTATTTAAAGCTTTTTTTCTGGAAAACTTGACTTGTAGGTTAATATTATTTTGTATGAGGCAATAGGTGGGACCAGAAGCTGGACCCACATGAATTTAATAAAGACAACACACAAATTCAGTTCTCAAAAATAATCAGTCTTGTGAAATATTTTGTCAAAGGCTAGGTGCTTTTCAAATGAAACTGGTTCAAGCATAGCTGGAAACTAAAGCAATATAGTCATCTCCATCCAATCAAGATGCAAATCTCTGAAGCTTTGCACTGAATGTATTTCAGCCCAGGAAATGATCATAATCAAAGGAATGATGCAAATAACCCCAACTACTCTACTTTTGGTCAAATTCTATTGCTGTACCTGTTTTTCTCTGATCCCAAGCATGCTTTCCTTATGAAACAAAACTGACCTTGTAGAATAATTTGTTGTGAAACCAGGACCAATGTTGTAAGACACACTCAAATTTCCTTTCCAGCTACTATGCGGTGGTGCGTATCCTCCCATATTACTATTATGGAAAAAAAATATCATTATTAGGTACAGACATCTTACAATAGCACCAAACATGAATGAGGAACCAGGAACCACACTTTGTTAGGTCTCATGCACACATAGACCATAGTGGTGGTCTTTGTCTTAGACAATTTATACTACAAGCTTCCACAGGAGAATAATCTGGGTTTTGTAGCTACATTAATACTAGTAAATTAACATGGAAGAATAATCCTGGGCCTTGAGATCAGCTTGGAATGGCCTCCAGCTACCCTGGAAAAAATTGTTGGCCTCCACAGGTTTTGCATATAATCTGCCTGTTGTAAATGGTCCCTGGAACTTTCTACTGCCTTGAACTCCATTTGCATTTGAATCAGCAGAGAGTAACTTTCACCATTTAACAGTTTTAATAGCATGGGCAGTTGTCTTTCAGTGCCTGCCCCGGGCACTGTTCAATCTGGCAGCATAGACAGAGTTGATGTATTTGAAAGATGTCTAAAATAGGAGAAACATGATGAGTCCAAGTCACCTTTTCTTGTTCCATTGTCAAAGGTGAGATTTTTTTCTCAGCTAACACAACTGGAAATGCAGTAATTCAGTGGATTGCAAATGTCTATACTTATTCACCTATTCTAAAGGATTTATGTTTTTGACGTGAACTTGTGAGAAACATTAAAAATATATTAAAAAGTACACTGGATGTTCTGGTTCTTATTAGGCAAAATATATTTATTATAAATGCAAGCACGTCCTTTACTGTAAATGCATACTTCAGCTAAGCTTTATTCCACGGAACACTTCAGCATGTCTTGAAGTCCTTGGTATATTTTTTATATAAAAATACAATACCAGGAAAAACTAGAAGTTATGACTTCTCAAGACAAAAGTGAAAACAAGGATCTAGTATTTTTCGAGGATTTAGATTTCATTCGTAATTATTAAAATCAAGTTCTATAATTATTTACAACTTATTGAGAAGAAATACCTAGCTACATCATATTTATACATCTTAGTCTGCTCTACCACTACGAGTTGGTAGTGGAAAAAAAGAGGGTTTTTTAACCTACACCTTTATCATTATGAGCAGTTATCTTCATAACAGTGATGAAGATAAAACTGTAAAGTTTTAAAGACAGTTTGGAGATATGTTAGACCATAAAAGTTTGGGACAAAATAGGAAAAGAGCAGTGTTAATGAACATCGGGCGTGCAAAGACACCAAAGGCAGTAAAAATCTGCCTCATATAAAAAATAAATAGCTTCAATGCCTCAGAGGTAATAGAGAAACGAGACAGACTTTTTTTTTTTTTGGACTCAATATTCAAGCAGAGGCATCAGAGCAGAATGATTGCTCAAGTGATTTAGATGTAAAATTCCTACACAAATGCACAGCCAAGATTACATTCACTTATTGCCCTAAACACTTAACGGTGGTACCGTTGCCCACCCTGGTATATCCTGCTCTGTATCTCCACAGCTGATACAGACAATTACTGCGACATCTTCAGGGGAATGATACACTTGCCAACTCAATTACATCTTAGTTTTTTAAGAGAACTTATTTGGTTTGTTAAGATAATCATAGAATCATAGAATCATAGAATGGTTAGGGCTGGAAGGGACCTTCAAAGGTCATCTAGTCCAACCCCCCTGCAAGGAACAGGGATATCTCCAACTAGATCAGGTTGCTCAGGGCCTCGTCCAACCTGGCCTTGAACGTCTCCAGGGATGGAGCATCCACCACCTCTCTGGGCAACCTGTTCCAGTGTTCTACAACTCTCATGGTAAAAAATTTTTTCCTAATATCCAATCTGAATCTACCTCCCTCTATTTTAAAACCATTGCCCCTTGTCCTATCACAACTGGCCCTCCTGAACAGCCTCTCCCCATCTTTCTTGTAGGCCCCCTTGAGGTACTGGAAGACCGCTATAAGGTCACCCCGGAGCCTCCTCTTCTCCAGGCTGAACAGCCCCAACTCTTTCAGCCTGTCCTCATAGGAAAGGTGCTCCAGCCCTCTTATCATCTTCGTGGCCCTCCTCTGGACCCTCTCCAACTGGTCCATGTCCTTCTTATGTTGGGGGCTCCAGAACTGGACGCAGTACTCCAAGTGAGGTCTCACGAGGGCAGAGTAGAGGGGGAGAATCACCTCTCTCGACCTATTCGATATTCGATATTCGAATTCGATAATTATGAATTTTAATGCTGTCCTCTGGCAAGCTGGTAGCTTGTCTTCCTGTCACTTGCACGTTTAGTAAGCACGCTTACTCACACATAGATGTCTACTAAATCCCCTACAACTCTGCAGTTTCCCCAGTGTCCTTACGTTAGTTTGCTAGCATAATTTCATATTTATGCAATACAATACGCCTGATGAGAGAAAGTAAACGCCTTCATTTACCAAAAGACAGTACAGATACTGTCCCACCAAACACGCATGACGAGTATTTCCCTGGACAAACGAATGATTTAATTTGTGGTCTTTTTCACAAGACAGGTAGCATGTCATTCTCAAAAATTTTTGCCTTTATTCAAACTGGGAGGCACTTTATAACTTCAGTATACTTGACTGATCATCACACACTACCAATGATCATGTCCAGATCACTCTGCACATATCTGATATGGAACAATGGACAATGTTTACCACCTCCAGAGAACCTAATGACAAACATACGCTATTTCAACAGCTACAGCAGAAGCACGGTGCAAAAGTCTTTTCCCTTTCTTTTCATATACTCTCGTAACTTTCAAAAAACAGTCTGCTTAAAATTTCTCATGTCTCCCATACACTTACCGCAGTAACGACTCAGCATCATGATAGCCAATGGGATGAACTGGAATTCTTGGCAGACCTACACCACTGGCTTTATCTAATCGGTAGGTGTATTCTGAAAGCAAAAGACAGATATTTAAATATTTACAACTCTCAAAAGAAATTTGTGCAGTTCATAGCACAGTCCCAGCACTGGAGTCAGGGATAATTATTTCACTTTCCTTGAAATCAGGCTGACATTTCTTCAGTGATTTCATTCTTTATGCTTTATCAACATGTTTTCAGAGAGACACTAACAAAGGCTCTCCCATAGCGTCTGCAGTCATGCATTTAAAGCTGGCAGAACATTTAAAAATTATTTTTATTTTTTTTTGTGTTGAAATGCTTTTAGGCAGAAATATTTCTCTCCATAGGAAAGAATTTCAGACTAAGCCACAGATAAGTAACAAGAGCAAAGAGATAGCCCATAGCCTGATGCTTGGAACATTCAGCTGAGAACTAAAAAAATTTTGCCAGTTAAGAAGAGATGCAGATAAAATCTTATACACTGGGCTACTGAATATTCTGTTTGCTGTTTTCATGAACAAAACAAAGTCTAGGTTTTGTTCTGACAAAGCTCAAACACAAACAATGTGTTTTTTATAAATGAGAATCTTCATTTTCACAATGTGGACAAAATTTGATGTTTGGAAGCCAGCAGGTATGGAAAAGAATAATCTCCTCCTTAATACAACATTCACAGGAACCCTTGTTGAGGGAAGCAGACAAGGACTCATCTATGAGGTCACTGACTTTAGCGTGAGAAACCAGAAATCTTCATGGTCTGCTCCTGCCATGCTGCCATTGTGAACATGCATTCTCTTCCAGCTCAAGCTGTGCTGGCTAGAGGCAACTTTCCCCATCACTTAGGGACTGCTCTTCTTGAGGTGACCACCTCCCTCGGATATGCTGGCTCAAGTGCTGGCATGAATGGTTCTTAATGCATTTCAGCCAAAATGATCTGGGTAGGTTCTAAATGAAACAGCTCAGGCAGAGCTAAAATAAACCACTGAGGAAGTATGAGGTGAAGGTGATGAACCAGTGGGGAATGGTGACAGGAGTTCCAGCATGAAAGATCTCTGCATTGCCAGTAGTGGCTTTTGTGGGAGAAAGCAGCCCAAATCCTGCAGAAAGGAGAACTGCAAAAGCAGAGAAACCTGTGAGCTGTGCAGGCCGGCTCCTTGCTTACTTACTGATGGGAAGCAGAAAGAAAAGACTAGCGCTTCAGATGTCAAATACTTGGCTGACCATCTCTGGGCTAACTTGGGTATGCCTGTGAAGTTAAGCAGCCCAGCACTGCGCTGTGCGGCTCCCTTAACATCTCCTCACTTTCTCTCATGCACCATTTGCAGAAGTGGTCTCCTGACGTGAAGCCCAAACCTGCCTTTTTTGAGCAACAGAAAGACCAAGAAAAAATGTGTTTTGTTCCAAGGGAACGAACATCACCATTACTTTTCCCTCCCTTCCCAAAACCAGACCCTCAGAGCATGATTCCTCCAGTGTCACTCACCTTTTGCAGGATAACCTGGTGTCAGAGGATCCCCTGCCCCATTCAGGTTCAATACATTCCCACGCTGGGCTCCTCCGCCCGGAAGATTCCAGCCATTTGGATAGGGATCTACTCCTGGGGCACAGTAGTCAGCAGGGTCAGAGTACAGAATAACTCCCTTGGCACCTGCCAATTCGGCATTCTTCACCTGCAAAGCACATCTCCGTTCCCTATCCAGTCCTTTATAGTTGACAGAAGAGTTCAAGGGGCAAAAGAAAGTATTATAAATTACAGTGATTATTCCTCAGGGCCTTTTACAGCGCTTGAGCTGAGTAAAGGGCCCATAACTGTCTCACATAATAAAATTTCCTGAATATATATATATGCAGATATCGGGTTCCACATGAAAGTAAGGTTTGCTGATGCTTTGAATTTTAGTTAGGAGATAGCTGCAGTAACATGGAAAAAACATCTTTCACAGTATTACTACATCACCTGAGTTTGCATTCTGTCATCCAGATCAACACAATCAACTGACTATTGAAATGTACACGTCATGGATGAAAAAAACTGTATCACATTGATGCAATCTTATCTTTCAGTTAGTCATTTATACGTATTTACCTTATTTACCTGAATGATCTCCTAACATAACAAAGGGTTCAGATTACACAGAAAATTAACTGAAGAGCTTGCAAGTGTCTTTGGCTGTGAGCAAGCCTAACTCCAAAGAGGCTTGTTCACAAGGCTTAGGCTTATTACGGCAGAAGGACTGACCTGCATGCTGTATTGATTAAAAAAATGCTCTCGTGACTTTATTATTCTATAATCCTGGTTGGTGGAGAGTGAGAGAGAGAATATATGTCATTCTGACATCCCAATCTGTTTTGCACTAGATAAGACAGTGATGTGTAGTGATTGAGTGACAACTAATCCTCAACAGTTTTAAATTTGAGTATTTTAATTCAGAAATATCATAGTCTTTTTTTTTTTAGGAAAATAAAATATTTAGGAAATATCATAGCCTTTTTTTCTTCATCCTCTATCCTATTCTTGCATACCATTAGGAAGTTGGAAAATCACAGTACAGTTCTCCAGATTTCATCCAGGCTACCAAATTCTTCAGTATATAAACAGTCATTAGAAATACTACTGTAAGAGTGAAGATATCATCCCTTTGTTTTAAGGAGGGCATGTAATTTCCAAACCACAGGACAGTTGCCCCTCTAGATACTAGTAACTCAGAGGTGTTTGTATTTAATTTTAATAAAAGATTCATACACAGCAATACCTGGTTTAATTTTAAGTCTTTTCCATTCATATAGTATCTTTAAGAGGGGTAAACAAATTACCGAAAATATTATCTGACCCAGCCTATGAGTTACATGTCACTTTTCACTGGTGAAAATGGTATGTACGTGAACGATGAGTTACCCACTTAAAAGCTCACAAAAGATTAGGCAACACCATATAGTAAGAGTTGGCATTCCAGTGATGAGATTCAGTGTTTGACACCCTTAGGTAACTAAGAATACAAATTATAGTCTTGCCCAAATTACAGCCAAACTAATTTTTGTACAAGAGCCAAACACACTTAAAATAGCCTGTACTCTTACATCCCTATTGAGGAAATAACTTGAGTGTATGCCTGAAGTATGCACATGATTATGTAATATCCTGTCAGGTCATGGAAATATGTAGAAATCCATAGTTTAAAAATATTTAGATGATAGGGACATTGAATAAACAAATGCAGAATTTAAAATAACCTCCATATAGTTATATATGAGGCTTTGAGCAACCTGGTGCAGCGGAGGGTGTCCCTGCCCATGGCAGGGGGGTTGGAACTAGATGATCTTTGAGGTCCCTTCCAACCCAAACCAGTCTGTGATTCTACTAGAGAATCACCTTTGAACACAGCTCTATGAAAAACTCAGTTACACTAAAATCTCCAGAACACTTCAGGTAAGTGTTTCAGTCTCTTGATATCAACTGAAGGACAGCACAAGTAACATTTTTACATGGAGGCATTACCTTATTTCCTCTGAAAATCTTCCCATATCTGGCAATAACAATCTTTCCTGTACAGTTAATTCCCATTTCACGTTCCAGCTTAAAAAAATCTTCGGTGCGGCCATAATTCACATACACCAACTCACCCTGATACAAAGACACAGAATTTGAAACAAGAATGTCAATGAGCACGTCAAAAGGAGGATGCAATCTAGTAAGAGAATAAACTGGGAACAATGAGCTCCAGGACAGGCTCTGGTATGAATTCTTCTTTGATCATGAGACAGTTAGGTAGGCAAGTGACTTCCAACGAATTTAGATTCCTGTCATCCAAAGGTGCCAGACTTTATCCTCAATGCCGGACGTTAAGATATGACTTGCGAATCAAAAACTTAGAGGAAATGCTCAGAGTATGGCGTTTACTTCTCTTCGTAGTCTGTTTAAGCAGTAGTCAGTCTTGGACAGCTGGAGGTATTTTGGACCCAGACACCACAGTAAATATCAATTTCATTTTATGCTGTAGAGCAGACTGAATGATGCCAATATCCTATTAAATTCTCAGGACTCGGTTCTTATTCGATAAAGTAAAAGCTACAGGTGGTTGACTGTCAAAATAAATACACCTGGCACATGAATAAAGTATTCTTCATGATTGTGTTTCAACCATGTTATTCAATACTCAGTGTGTGATTCATCTCCCTTAATGTCAACTACCTAAAAGTTACGTGCATTGTCTAAGAAGGTCCTGTACTGCGCTCCATAATCAGCAAAGAGCTGGGAAGCTCTCTGAGAATTCACTGTTTCCAGGAGAATTCACTCCAAACCTGTTTTAAACACCTATTTAAGGAAGGAATAAATTGCCTTCTGAATAGATCTCTCACTGATTATACTTCAAAGACTGTTTTAGAGTAAATGCCTATAAAAAGTGTCAAAGACTGGTTCAGGGAAGTTCAGACAACTAAAATTAGGTCACAGGAAACTCTTACTTTGTGCATTTCTCCATATTGTCAGACACCTCCAGAGAGATCTTCAATTTGAATTCAAAAAGGTATAAGCTTAAATCTCTTACACTGACAAAAATCCCTGACTAGAGATCCAGGTGGTCTCATGTAACAGCATACAGCATGTCCTGATAAGACTGCAGAACAGTCATTTTGATTATATTGGTTCATTGGTAATCTCCTCAAGTCGTGATTTCTTCTTAAATTAAGCAAAATGAACTCAGTTAGGAAAAATTCGTTAAGGGGACTGTGTTTAAATAAGGCAAACAGTTTCACACCTGGTAAGATTCTGGTCCTGTCTGTTCAGAGAATAGTTCATCAACACAAGGATTATTCTTGGGGAGGCTTTTCTGAATTTGTGGAGTAGTTTTTCCTCTCAGTAAAATCAAGTGTAACTCTACTGAAGTCGAGACAGTTCTTCCAGTCTATTTAGATTAAGCAAAAGGGGAATTTGGTCCTCCATTTTAACATAATTTCTTTAGAGTATCTTGTACAGAAAATCCACATCTGTAGGCTACTGTATTTTTAATGACAAATACAAAAATGTTGATTTCAGTAGTTTGGTTTACATAATTGCAGAGCTGTAATCATAATAAACAGCGACCTGCTGGGTTCTCACATACAGGACCCCTGTTCTGCAATGAAGTGCAAAACAAGTTAACACAAGAGAAACATTTTATGATGAAAACCTGTTCACACTTTACCGGGTTTTTTAAAATAAAGTCTTTGATTAAGTAGATGCCATCACATAAAGAAAAGAACAGTTCTGATGTTTAGAAGAGGCTCTCATAACTATATCTGATATAAAGTATATAATCCGTATTCATAGCATTTTTCCTGGTGTTGCAGAATAATTCATATTTCTTCAATCTCTAGATTTCTGAAACTACTTTAAAAGGTACTTATTTGAAGATTCTGGCAATATTTGATGTATTGCAGAGTAAATCAGGCTTCCTTAATTGAATTCTTTTAGCATCTCTGAAAATTCTTTGTCTTTAACTTTCATTAACAAGACTAAGAACTACATCAATGCGACAAATTTCTCCTCAGAGCACTGTGACAGTTTTGTGTCATAGTCTCCTGGTGATGTGACAAAATCTCTCATGTTTATAGAACTATTACAAAATACAAGCTTTGAGAACGTAGTGTGGACTCAGAAAATGTCCTGTCTGGGCTCTTTTAGCGTAGTTAGAGATCTCAAGCAAACCTCTTACTTGTGACCATCATTAACCAGATGGGAGCACTTTTGCAGTCACTTAAAAAGGAAGTGGAGAGCAGAATTTTACCATCACTTACGATGCTCATGTTCCAAACTACTACTTCTGTCTGACAGAATGCGACTTCACTACTTGGTCTGCTTCCTGCTAAATATTTCTGTTAAAAGAAGCCTGTGCTCAAAACTTAACTTTTTTTCATCTGACTGTTTATTGGGATTTAGTTAAAACACACCACACAGAAGTAACATGCATTTTTTGACAACCTGTATGAGTGACCAGGATATATTCCATCCTCCATCCAGTGAGAACCTGAAATGAGTAGGAAGTACTTTTAAATCTCTGCAGGGTCTCATGCTAGCAGGCAAGTAGCTACTATCCCACTCTGACAGTATTTAGCCTTCAAAACAGTCACTGTCACTCATTTTTACAAAGCAGCTGCAGGAAAAAGTAAGAGTGCTAGCAGGGCTGAACTGTTATTTCCACAACTCCCTGACTAGAGCACTCACTCAGAAAATGTGAGAGCTGCGTTCTCGGCTTCTCTCACACTGACCAGCTTTGATCCATTTGCCTAACTTTCCAGGAAGGTGGACTAGTGAGACTACAGCTAGCCTGAGAGGCAAGAACTTTACAGCCTTCTCCCTTCATTGAACTTGGAGTTTTATGCAGGAATCATTCACAGAATTAATGAGCTGAAAGAGAACCTATGAGTGACGATTGCACTTGGCAAGTTCCAAATATCTCTCTCAGTTCTGGTTTTTAATACAATGGCTTTTAACATAAAACACATAAACAGGCCTGGGAGAACTCAGAAGAGCCCTGAACCCACGGAGTATTCCCACTGCTGAGCTATATACATGCTCCCTGTTTGCAGTACAGGTGCAGACAACTGCTCACTGGAGAATGTTATTGCTAACAGCATTAGCTGGGTACCAGCTTTTGTCAAGGTATTACATAATAAGATGAACATAAGCACCATATTTTGAAAATGCAATTTGACTTCTATTTCATTTTTTTTCAGAAACAATGTTCTTATATTTAATTAAAATAAAATAATTTTCTAAATAAGGAAACTGCAGCTTTTAGAACTTGTTTTTATTATTTCCCATATCCCTTTCCTTACTGTAGCTCTCCAGAAAACAAATAAAGTGGTGAAGTTATTCCATCTGTCTTTGGAAATATTATGTTACAACAGAAAGTCAGAATCCATTAATTTTACCTTACATTATGTTCCAAAATTCCCACTGCAATTCCTGAAACACTCAAAGCTGTCATATCCTAGGGTACAGGCTATCTGCCTGGTTCTCCAGCTTCCTTTGAGTATGTGAGGCAAATGCACACAGGATACCTTTTGTTTTCTGAACTTGCACAGCTTATCAACAAAATTCAGAAAGTACACGACTCTAACACTGAGCTATGTGAGTAAAAGCATCATTGGCAGGTTTCAAAGTCAGATCCAACTTTAAAGTAGAGATTGGACCAGATGACCTTCAGAGGGCCCCGCCAACCTACTTTATTCTATGTATAGACAGGAAAGACACTGAGAAGAAAAAAAAAAGTTCTAATCTTACAAATTATTAATTGTAACCACTAACGATCATAGGATAGAAAACTCCTGTCACACAGGCCAGCTTTATAAAAGAAAGCCTGTCAGCTGGTACCATCTGTACAAGATAGAAAGGATTACTGTTAAGCTCAGATCACAGTAACACTTCTACTGCCAGCTAGAAACGGTAGCAAGAACCAGTCAAATCCTGCCTGACTAATTTGGTGGCCTTCTACGATGAGGTTACAGAATTGATGGATAGCGGAAGAGCAACTGACATCATCTACCTGGACTCATCCAAAGCATTTGATACTGTTCCACACGACATCCTTGTCTCTAAACTGGAACGACATGGTCTTGATGGATGGACCACTCGGTGGATAAGGAATTGGCTGGATGGTCGCTCTCAAAGAGTTGTGGTCAAGGGTTCAATGTCCACGTGGAGGCCAGTGACGAGTGGTGTTCCTCAGGGGTCAGTACTGGGACCAGTGCTAGTTAACATCTTTGTTGGAGACATGGACAGTGGGATCAAGTGCACCCTCAGCAAGTTTGCAGATGACACCAAGTTGTGGGGTGTTGTGGACATGCTGGAGGAAAGGGATG